AGGTGGAGCAGTTCCAAGTAGTGCTCTATCGCACATATGGTTCGGAGATTGAATCCATGATTGATACCCTCCAAGAACAATCAAGCCTTCCACCTCTCTGTGGTTTAATTAGTGGCAGACTTGTGCTGGGGTGGAAGCACTTAATTGCATATCGGCTGGGAGTCATGAACCCGCGAGTCATTGTGTAGGCCACATTCGCATTCAAACCACCACCACGATTTTGCGTATTCTTTAGAAAAGTGAAGCTTTATCGGAAGCTCGTGAGACCCAAAAGAAGACCGTTTCGGGACCCTTAATGTAGTTGCACTTGGCGACCTAGTTCGATGAAGCTCGGCGACGGAGTGCTGTCTCTTAAAAGACACCCAGACGAAAGTGGGAATCGTGGAGTGGTAGCTGGAGGGTGAGCATCGCACGGGGAACAAGGAGTGACGTGCGCCGTATTCTGGTATTCGCTGCGAGAGCAACTAGCAAGTTCGACAGACGGGGTCGAATGCATCGCACACCTCACGATCTTGTACTTTCACAAATCTCCCGCCCTACTTTCTCTACATTCTGATAAGAACGAGCGCAGTTAGATCAATGCTTGTGAGNGTGTGCCGTATTCTGGTATTCGCTGCGAGAGCAACTAGCAAGTTCGACAGACGGGGTCGATCGAATGCACGCACACCTTACGATCTTGTACTTTCACAAATCTCCCGCCCTACTTTCTCTACATTCTGATAAGAACGAGCGCAGTTAGATCAATGCTTGTGAGCGCCACCCTCTCAGAATTGTTGAGAGAAACTTGTTCTTCGCCTTGATTTTTCGTGTGGTTTCGGACAGCTCAGTTCATGGCGGTTCATGGCGTGCAGTTCTTTCGGCCTAAAATGAATTTCAAGCAGGGTGAAAATGCCTCTCGTACTTTGGTATCGGCACTCATCGGTGTAGTGCAGAAGACTCTAAAAGGATATCCAGCAACGTAGGTAGATGACCAAATAACATTGGAACCAATAGATGCTTTCATTATCCGATTCATTGCAGCGAAACGGAAGTTTTCCTATATAATTTCTCAATGGTCATGTTGTTAACCTTCATTTCACATATGTCCGTTAATAGATGAATAAATGATTTACTCTTAACCGGTGGTATTCTCAGCCTGTCATAATCGAAAATGGATAGCTGGATCAATTTTTTTCTTTTTCGGCCATGATTGTTTCTCTAGTTGCATGATAAAGGTAACGGGCCACAGCTGAGTTTTAGTGGTCCTCAGATTCTGTTTTGCGGTCAATTGCTTTCTCGATACCACTGCATGCTGTATCATCAGTTGAACATTGAGAGTTTTTCAACGAAAAATAAGTCTGCCGGGGCAATTTAAGCCGTTTCTTCATTGACAAAACTTGGATGGGATTTTTTTGTTCGTCATAAATTACTCTCAGCCGTTTTTCTTTTGAGAATATTCAGTTTGTTTCATCTTTCTTTCTCAGAGTTCCTAAGGATTTCTTTAATCACATAAATGCTTATCCTATAAATACGTATCTGCTGATATACGGCGAAATATTCACTGTTCGCAAAGGTAAACTTCTATTCACCCCCCCCCCCCCCCCCCCC